TAAGGATTAGTTATACGGCATGCATTGAACCCTTGAGCTACATACAGGAGATTTTTATTTATTATCTATCATTATGTGATAACCATCAACATGGTGTATGCATATTTGCAAGTCACAGGTGAAGGGTCATTTCCTGCCCCAGGTCCTTGCAGCTTAAATAGATAGGCAAACCTATTTGGACACAAAAGGGACAAATTCTTTCCACCATATCCAGCCAAAATAATTGACTTAGCAATGAGAGCTCTACTGGGGGAAAGAAGAATTTTCCACCCTATCCTCCAAGCCATGGAGCAGTAGCAGAATTGCTCTGCAGGAATTAGTTCAGAATGAACAGTAGCTGAGCTACTAGGTAATACCTATAATGCCTTCAGGTACCAAAGGCAAAAGGGAAGGTACCAAAAAGTGACAACTAAATTTTAGAAAGGGAATAATCGCCAAGTCCCAGAAGACACTGAACCAAAAGGGAACTAGGAAGGCAAGAAATAAATTTGTTTGGCTAAATCAGCAAATGTTGAGAGGTTATTGAGCCAAAAAGATCTCTTTCAGCTTTCAGAATCTAACCCTACTAAAGTCCTTGGAGAACAGGCAATATGTAAAAAAAAAAAAAAAAAGAGGGCTACAGATATTAAAATTAGAAAGATTAAGTTATTCCAGTTTATCAGAAAGAGGAAGCCTGGGAAAATATTTTCCCTGAGTTTACTGAATTTAGGAAAGGATAAAGGAAGCAATTGAGAAGGAAAAGGACATTGCCAAGATGTGAAATAAGTTATTATTCATTACAAAGGTTGTTAGTGATACACCTTCCTTTGAACTCCTGTTTTCTGGTAAGAAAAATAAGGTGCTATCATGGATTGAGGTGTCAGAAATAATTGATAAAACCAAGCAATATGTCTTTAGACCCTGAATGAAAGACAACCACAAGTTCTGAAGAAACATAATTAAGTGGCTGAGTATATTGTTTATAAATAAATGCAGTATCTCATTAAAAATCTGTACTGTACTGGAGGATTGGAGAGTTGCAAATCTTTCATTATATATTTTTTAATGGTTTCAGACTGATTCAGGGCCCCAAAAAGAGGAAGTCTTAAGTATACCCCTGATAAATTGGTTGAACAATTATAAAAAACAGAAAAACTTCCAGATATAAGATCATTATATGATAGGATGTAATCAATATTGTTTCCGTAAAGTGAAATTATGTTTTACTGATCTCTTAGGATTCTTTGTGAACATATCCGTTAAGTAGTAGATAAAGGAATATCAGTACACATAATTTATTTAGGCTTTAAATAGACCATTTACAAAGTCCTTCATAATAGACTGCTAAAGAGACTAAGTACTGATGGATCAAAATTGGCTCAGAAAAGAAAGAGTATGAAAATTAGCAGTTTTCATCTTGGTGAGTGGCTTAACTGTGTATTTCAAGGTTCTAAGTTAGGACAGGTATAGTACAATGTACTTATTAACTATCTAAAAGAGTGGAGTAGCAAAATGTAAATATGACTCCAAAGTTATTTAGATGCATCAGGTTTACAGAAGACACTGAGGGACTTCAGGGCAGCAAACCCAAACAAAGTGAAGAGGCAGTACAGCATCAAAATTCATTCTTCATAAATGTGAAGCAATGCAAAATCAAAGTAAACGCGTCTGTGACAACCTTACTTAGTGTGCATGCAACCGTAGTCAAAGCTAAACCAGCAAGTCATTATCCTGCAAAATAAATAGATTGGAAAATAATATAGAAAATATGATCAGATAAATTAGTGGTGCATCTTTATACAGAATACTGTGCAGTACTGCTTACCCATTTCAGCGAGAATACAGAATAAGAGGAAGTTCTAGGAAGGGTGACAAGAAAGATTAGACTAGGGTTGGCGTGTTGTTGAAGCCATGGTGCTCGAGGAAATATCCGAGAGGCAAGGATTTCTTGTGATATCTTTTATTAGACAGCTATATATATAGTTGAGAGAACTGTTGGACAAGTTTTTGGGCATCAAGTGCCCTTCCTCCGGTCAAGGGCACTCAATGCCTGAAAATTTGTTCAGCAGCTCTCCCAACCATAGGTTTAGTCCAATGAAAGATACCACAGAAATCCTTTTCTCTCATCCATTTCCTCAACTGTCATGGCTTCAAAAACACTCCAATACTACTCTAATCTTTCTCATGAAAAATTATAGGCCTTGAAAAAGTCTCATACGAAGGGAAACTGAAATTATTGGTATTGTTTTCATTAAACAGAAGTAAATAAAACATACTAAAATATAAAAAGTGGTGAGTGACACACAAGGTATTTCAGGATCTTCTCTTCCCCTTGTAACACAAGAACCAAGGAAGATTCAAAGAATCTAAAAGGTAGAAAATTCAAACCTGATTAAATGTAGAATTCATCATCAGATCAGATCACCAAGGGCCAGGAATTAAATAACGTTCAAAAAGAGATTGGATGATAATATAAATTGATTTATATTAATTATGCTAAGAGCTTGAAATGGGATATAAACCTTTAACACATCAGAATTTGAAGCAATCCCTAACTGTTACAAATTTACTCATGGGAGAGAGTGTGTTCCACCACTGCCATTTGTTGCCATTACTTGTATCTTCTTCTGAAGCAAACAGTGCTAGCCACTGAGATGGGACACTAACCTAGATGGGTGGGAGGAGGCAGACTATGCTTCTGGATGGCAGTTCTGATGTCCCAGGTCTAAGCTTCACAGCCCCAGTGTATTAAAAGGCCAGGAGTGCCTGTATGGTTTAGAATCCCCCAGTGCAGCCGTCAACCCCAAAAAGGCAGTTGTACAATAAGTTTGCCTGTGCTCAAGGTGGGATACTGGCTAGTTCTTTCCTCTGAATATTGTAACCATAGCAGAACTCATGTACTGCAAACCCTGATGAGTCATGGAAGGAGGTGTTGGATATAGAAATGGTGCATCATTGTATCTCAGAATGTAGCAAGATTTTTCTTTTTTTTTGTTTTCATGTTGACCATGTTCATTTATTAGTCCAGCATATTCCAGCTGATAGTTTTAATGGACTAAGAACAAAATTGTTTAGAGGGATTTGAAATATGAGTGTTCACCTTGCACAGTAGAAGCTGAGTGGTGTTCCAGGCCTACAAGGCAGCATGGAGCAGAGCATGAAGATGAGAGTTTGAGAAGGGAGACAGATCTTTCAAATGAAATTTGAAAACCTGGAGCTTGCTATTGGTTGAATTTGCATTTCCCCTGGCCTGGGTTGTGTATTTAAAATAGAACTGCAAACTCCATATCATCCGTTGTCATTTGCATCACACTTGATTTACTGTTTCCCACCTGCCAATTTCAGCTCAACAGCTGCGTTTCTGCACTAGGAAGATATTCTAGGTATCTCCTAAATACCTAACACACTTTTTGTTCTGTATAAATTACAGTAATATGGATATTTTTTTTATGAGAAAAATCCTTTATATGACACAGGGGAATTAAAAATGGATCTGTTTAGAACAAAATTTTATGCAGGTTTATGGCCAAAAATATAAAGCCAGATTCTGCTTCCCTTATGTGTATTGAGGTTATACCTTTTATTACTTAAGAATTGGCATGTATTGATATGGTACTAATTGATAAGTAAGATATTAGCCAGAATAAGCATGGTAGAATTGGGCCCATAGAGAACAAATAACTTTCTCTAGGTTGTCCTTCATACAGAGGCTATGGCTAGAATTTTCTAAAGAATTAATTTCACATTTTGGCATCAAAGTAAGTGATTAACTTATTTTGAAAATCTGGCTTATCATAACCGAGAAAGATGATGGCTACCGAGCACCTTTAAAATATGATTATGGTGCTTGAAAATATATCCCTACTTCTCTTGATAGTATAGCCTCAATGCAAATTTATCACCACAGCAAATTTTTTGCAACAAAGTAAATAAAAGGAGAAATAGACTATAATCGGGGCTTTCACAGTCTTTGATAGAACTGTGTGTGTGTGATGGGAGTACTGGTCCTCAATTGATATTGTATAATTGTATTTTATCCTTCCTTCCCCTCTCCCTAAAATATCTGCCAGAGAAAGTTGCTATACAAATTCCTATTCCCAGAACTATCTGTCCACTTTGTAAAGGTGACGTGGTGCTTCAGATGATGGATATTGTAGTGTTTTGATTAAAAAGGTAGAAGCCCTCAAAAATGCATTCAGTTTATTGAACATAGTTCCTTTTAACATTTTTCATCCTGAACTCATTTAGTTGGGGAAATGGATATTTCATCAGACATGGATTTGACGTTCCATCACATTATGCAGTAAACAGTTCAAATGGTGGGTTGTTTTTTTTTTTTAAATGGGGAATCTGGAAAAGCTAAGACAGTAGCTGCTGTAAGGCACTGGTTATCTCATTTAAACAGATATTAAATGTGGGTGCCAGTGGTGTGATCATCAGCTGCTTCCCACTTTGTGAATAAATTGCTTAGAAGGAGTCTTTTGCCTACCAGATGTGACCTAGATTTAGATTTCCAAAGGCAAAAAAAAAAAGTCTATTGTGTAAAAAAACAATTGCTGGTAAAATGCATGGTAAATGAGCTTATCTCACTTTTCCAGGTGTTTAAGCTAATATGTTGTGAAATTAGTGCTTCATTTATGAAAAATAATTGAGGAAAATGTTCCAACAAATCAAATTTGGGTACAGGCTTAGGATAGTTATTGTGTTGTTAGCAAGTTTTTTAAATGGCAGGAAGACCAGGGAGCCAGCACAGATAAAATGTAGAAAATTGTATCTCTGAAGAGGCTCTCATAGAAGGGTTAGGCATGGGTATCCAACTTGTATTGTGCTTTAACAAAATTTTATGGAATACTATGAACAATTATGTTCCTTTTTATACATGTGAATGCATTTAAAGAAAAATCTAAGCATTGCTATTTGTTGGCTCTGATAAGTCTTATGACTGTTAAATTTAACAGAATAAAAAGTGCAATGTCTTTCTTCTTTTTCTCCCTCCTCCTTTCAATTCACTCCTTTCCTAGGAGCTGCCACTCGGAAACCAGACCCAGAACCAGAGAAACAGACAGACCACACTGTTAAAATTGCTGGAGTCATTGCAGGCATCTTGCTGTTCGTTATTATATTTCTGGGGATTGTGCTGGTAATGAAGAAAAGGTGAGCAATTAGTAGATGTTTTCTGTGTGCATAATTTTGTCACAGCATCTCCTATAGCAGCTTTCAGTTTGATACAGGCCAAAGTATCCAGGCACCTTACTGCCCTTTTCCACAGTTTTAAGGAAATTGTGTTTTGTTTTCCCTGAAGCCTGAAAAATACCCTGAAGGGTATTTTATGAAATGGTGAAATCTGAGTTTTCCATCCTGCAGCATTTTCTGTGAATTAATGTTTGTGGCTTTGTGTGATAGAAGGAAAACAACCCAAGGTTAATGATACTCACACTATGCATTAGTACTGCATGATGGACCCAAAAAATAGAAGAACAGTATCTTTTTCCTGGTAGAGCAAGCCTTTGCTGTATCAAGTAGGTCAGGTGGAAGTTGGTTATAGTTTGATTTCCCATAGGCGTCTTGAGAAAGTTGCCCATTTTGAATGTAAAAGAAAACCTTGGTCAAATAGGAAGTGGATTGGGGAGCTAAAATGATTTGTGGTATGAACTGAGTCCATATTGTTCTGCATAAATTTGATTCCAGGAAAGCAAATGAAAATGATACTGTTTGTAATCATGCTGAATGTTTCTAAAAGCAGGCTCAAGATCTTTCTGCTTTGAATATAATTTGAATGCTGCTATGGCAATAAAAATATCTCCCCTCCCCCCTTTTAAACTCTATTGTGTTTGTGAATAGTATAAAGGGAGGCAGTAAAGGAACATCTCATGGCAAGGGAAGGGAAAATCTGGCAGTTAGGAGATGAAAGGATGTAGCCTAGGTTTAGAGAATTTCAGTAACAGTTTAAATCAAGGAATGGGGCTATATCCTGAGGTGAGGGAACTGTTGCAGCTCTGGAGGTTGTTAGGGATATTTGAAGGAATGGGTAGTCCGATTTGCAAGCAGTTAAAAGGATGTGGATTAGGAATGTTTTTCATTTGAGTCCTCTCCTGTAACGCATGCCTTCCCACCTTTAGTCACCTGCAGCTCCAACTTTGGTCTTCCAGTTACCCTCTGGGGTTCCCTTCCCTCCCTTAAAGACAACTCAGGCTCAGTTTTGCTAGACCCAATGTCTCGATAGTAGAGTGGTGATTGAATTGCAGGTACATGTTTGCATAATGGATCTGAGATATTCCAAACCTCAAGCAGCCTGTAATACTGCTAAGTTTGGAACATATCAAAAGTACAGTTAAATAGATGTCATCTAGGTGGTACACTAGTGTACAACCTACAGGTATTTGGTTTTTTGTTTTTTTAATGGGAAATAATGATGGGGCTGTGGAAGTAAACAGAAAATTTCTGGAGAAGAAATTATGGTATGGGGCCTGAAGAAGGGGAGTGACCCCTACAGTAACGAGAAGGGGCAGTTGAGGCCTCCATTAAGAAAACAGGAAACTTAAACGCCAAACTAAGTATTATCTGGGACAGTGGAACAGTGCTGCAGAACCCAGACCATCCCAGTATAGTGCTGGGTTTACCTGATGTAGCAAGGGTAAGATCTGTTCTCAAAAGTGTTACCTTCTCTGTCTGTATGTTCACTTTTGATTTTTTGCAGCAATCATATTTTCCAATTTACCTTAAAAAGCTGAGGCAGACAAACCCTTGCTATAGGATAGCACAATGCTGACATGCAGTCAGTAAGGCTCTCCACATTGCCTTGCCAGTCTTGCATACTGAAACGTGACGTGCCTGCAGCATCTGTCTGATTCCACTTCTAAGTCTAGATTGTCACTCATAACAAATCAAGCCAAAAAGCAGAATAAACTCATTTTGGAGTGCCTTCTACTCCAGCTATTCCTGTAGTCCAAGAAGAGCTGCTAAGAGAGTGGGAAGAGGCCCATGATTACTGACTCAATGAGTATGAGTGAGCCTTTGGTTGGCTGGGCCACTCTGCTGTTGCTGCTCTGCTGCTGCTTCCATGGGAGAGGCAGAGCTATAGGCAAATGGGAAGGATTTTGTTGGGCTGAATGTTGGGGAGGGCATTGGTTCTCTCTCTCCATCATAGGCTTAATTATAACACTTATTGACATTGGGACATATGGGTACCATATAGCCTGCTTTTGGGCCAGATCCAGAGAGGTATTTTGAAAGCAATGAGACTTTTTGAATCTGTGACTAAACTGAAAGCGCTATAACTGAAAAAACCCACGTCTGAGAATTCTTTTACAAAATACTGTTGCAAAAGACAAACTGGTTATTCAGTAAGGTATTATTGGTGCATTAAACCACTGAGCCAGTCAATGCCATGTTTTCCCCTAGGTTTGTTTACCATGTGAGTATTACGTATGTCTTGGAAGCTCAGAACATGTTTAATGTTAAGTGCAATACCAATACGTTACAAATGTTACATTACTGTGGCTGCTTCTCAGTGGAGGAAACATCACTATGTGATTACTATATGCCTTGGTAATTGGGCTTCAGTTATATTAAAGGGATTCTTCTGATTAAGGACTGGGTTGAATAATAGCTGCACTTTTGTGGCATCTTTCATCTGAGAACCCTTTTTGTCATAACTTCTTAGCATCCCCTCAACTAGATGCATAGCCAGGTGGTGTATTAGTTCCCATCATGTTGGAGCTATACATTCTTCCCATGAGTCTTAATACACTACAGAACTCTTTCTTTCCTTGGCCTCCTTGGCAGACTTCCTAGGCACAAGCTCTCAATCTGTATATGACCCAGTCACAGAAGTGGGACCTCATGGTCCACTTAACCCATAACTGTTGTTAATCCACCCAGATTCACCAATAACTTAAATGCAGCCTTTCTCCAGAGCTCCACCAGGTGATCTGTTGGTTAGTTACCACAAATTCTCTCTTCCTGTCTTCCCAAACACTTGTTTGTCCATTTTTATGGCTGATCATTAAAATTCAGTATCCACACCTTGTTAATTCTGTGGCAAGCTTGAGAATTCCTCGGGTTTTAAAACCTCGTGCTGGTTTTAATGCCATGTAGAAGCAAAGGCACGTTCAAAATGAAATGTGCAGTTTGCCACAGGTACACCTCAAGAATCCTTTTCAGTTGTTACTTTGATAGATCATTTAACCATCCAGTCATTATAACCATTTAATACTTAAGCCTCCTAGCCATTTATCCGCATTCACAATGCCTTTATGAAGTAGTAATTCATTTTCTCTGTGTCTCAGTTTGCGAAAGGAAGATAAAAAGTTACCTTCCCAAGGTCACACCAGGAGGCTGTGCCAGAGGGTAGAATAGTACCTAACCTCTTACCTTTAAGTCTGATGCTCCAGTCACTAAGTCCTGCTTCCAGGATTCAGATGTGGCAGCTGCCACAGCTGGCTGTGCTGTATTAGTTAATAGTACAACTATGGGCTGGCCTGTAAGGATTTCCTGCTCTCCAGCATGATCTGAAACTGTGTATGTTAGGACTTGATCCACATCAGTGGTATTTTCCACTGACTGGTTTTTGAATCTGGTCTCAGTGCACAGGCTCAAGCAAGTCACCCACAGTCTCCCACCTAGCTCCAGAATAACTATGCTGAAATCTCAGGATCTCCTTGAACACCAAGTGCAGCAAGAAAGTTTTTTCATCTGCCAAATTAGAAAAAAAAAAATGGACTGAAACAGAGAGCACTGTTCCTGCAGGGTTTGGTAAACAACATATAAACATGCTTTCCATAATTATTTTTAGGCTTATGGAACAACATCAGAGACATATACATTAGGGAGAGAGTTCAATTTACTGTTGTTGTCTACCTGTTTGGGTTGTTTTTCTTTACTTTTCTTTATTTCTTTTTACTTCAGTTACATCTCCAAAAGATACAGAGGTTGAAAAATTAGAGTTAATGAAAGAAGGTTTGCTTGAGGGTGTTTTTATCTGTGGAGCAGCAGTTCCTTCTTGAGCTGCCATCTTGCTGCTGCTGTGGGAGTGCAGTGCACCAGTAGCTATTAATATTTCATTGTGTTGGGATCTGTTTCAGATTGAGAGTGAGGTGTGTGATCAGTCCTTCTTTCTATAAAAACCATTGTTTTGTCGTGCATATCTTTAGTTCTCTTCTGAACTGCCTATGTGCCTGAGCTTTCGAATAGGTCTGATGCATGTATCTGTCGTATCCGTTTAAGTCGCAGGCTCTGTGCAGTGTCAGCACCTTGTTCAGTGCCCCTCAGGAGTGCCCTTTCCTTCCGTCATACTGGGCTGGCAGTGTACCAGGCTAATCCCTAGCTGTAGGTCAGGCCAGTACTGTTCTACACTACCTGCCAATGGTTTCTAGCAGTCAGTAAAGAAACTGGGAACAACTGGGTCATAAGGAAAGCTGTTTGCAGCACCTCCTATGGGTGGGACAGAAACCATTATACTAGCTTGACATTACCAGGAAGATCCCCTGACAGGGTGACTCTCCTGTGACTAACTGCACTTATTTTAACATCCTTTTCACGGGAACCTATTTTTTATCTACAAAGTCTTTTTATCCCAAAGAACTTCAAGTTGTTTAATATACTCAGTACCTACAAGAATCTATTCAGTGCATGCTGCCACCTCGGACACAGAAAATTCGTAACTGAGGGATGAAAATTTTGGCCAAAACCACTAGATTAATATCCTTCTTCTCTGAAAAGTATATGACGAGAGCTGACTCAGGATATGGCCAGACATGCATTTGAAGCATTCCAAATCCCACTCCAGTTTGGGGCTCTTCACATTCAGAGTGCTTCTGTTTCTTGCAGACAGGCAGCACCGACTCCTCTGGAGCACTTCCAGTTGGCCACAAAAGCATGTCCTAAAGGAACTGGCTGGGGTCATTGCAAGTCCCCTGGCACGGCTTTATGAACACTCGTGGTGCTCTGGAGAGGTGCCGGAGGATTGGAAGAGGGCCAACGTGGTTCCCATCTTCAAAAAGGGGAGGAAAGACGACCCGGGGAACTACAGGCCAGTCAGCCTTACCTCGATCCTGGGCAAGCTGTTCGAGAAAATTATTCTGGCACACATCCAGGAGGGGCCAGCAGGGAACGGCATGCTCAGGGGCAGCCAGCATGGGTTCATCAACGGCAGGTCCTGTCAGACCAACCTGGTGGCCTTTTACGACCAGGTCACTAAATCATTGGATGCAGGGGTGGCAGTGGATATAGTTTTCCTAGACTTCAGGAAGGCTTTTGA